AAATCATATATAAATGATGTGCACAGTTTCGGTTTTGTCACTGATATCATTTATATATGATATGCGCGGTTTAAGGGTTAAGAAGCACATCAACAAACTGGAAAAGGTGCAACGACATGCCACTAAGTGTCTCCCAGAACTGAAGGACAAGAGCTACGAGGAGAGGTTAGAGGCATTAACACTTTCGCCCGGGCATGACGCAGCATTGCGTCATCCGTTTGCTGTCGGTAATCTCGGGGATGATGCAGCATTGCGTCATCCACTAAAATAATTGCCAAAAATCAGGTTTTTATCAAATTTTTTGGGGACTGTTTGGTAACTGTCAACAAGCCGAATGCAATCTGTGACTACAATACAAACATGAAAGGTGTTGATCACTTTGACCAAATGATCAAATATTATCACTTCATAAGGAAAACTCACAAATGGATGAAGAAAATGACCATCTATTTTGTGCAAATGGCTATCTACAATGCTTATGTGATGTACAACTTCTACATAAAAAATACTAAACTATAATACTACATATACTAAAATACTAAATACTAAACATTTGTGGGCAGGAATTGGGAGTGTAGCTGGAAGGCATCTGGGCGCTCACTCACGGTTAACGTGTGGCCCGTCTTCAACTCGTCGGCGGGTGGAACGTGACCAGGTTTTTTATTTTATATGCTAATGGTCCTCTAGAGAATTCTATTGCGAACCCATTGATACCAAAATGAAAGACCTAGGACGAAAATTGAGGTGACCAAAGTGAAAAGAGTGAACACATTTTATCGCTTTTGCGCGCTCCTGGGTAACTCGTTCGCACTTTCTGTTTGCTGCGGGTAATTAGCTGGGCTTTTGGAGTTTATATGCATTTAGTGCTGTAGAGAATTCTATTGCAAACACAATGATACCAAATTTAATCTCATAGGACGAGAATTAAGGTGACAAAGAGAGTATACACTTTTTAGAATTAAAGCGCGCTCCCGTGAAACGCTGGGACCCAAATCGCACAGTTGAGGGGTGGCGCGTGGGGCACACCAAAGTGTTAAATATGCAAAACTATAAGATAGAAGAAAAAGAAGAGATATGATCACTACGTTCAAAATAGTAACAGGAATCGATAAAATTGATAGGAAAGAATTCCTGAGACCGGGAACTTCAAGAACAAGAGGTCATAGATTTAAACTAACGAAACAAAGCTGCCAGAGAAATATATGAAAATTCACTTTTGTAAACAGAGTGGTAGACGGTTGGAACAAGTTAAGTGAGAGGGTAGTGGAGGCCAAAACTGTAAGTAATTTCAAAGCATTATACAACAAAAAGTGCTGGGGAGACGGGACACCACGAGCGTAGCTCTAATCCTGTAACTACACTTAGGTAATTACACTCCCAAGTGCCATCACGAACCAAAACGGGGCAGCCCCAGGGCTCCCGGGGAGCAAACAAATGAGAGCGTTGCCACCATCAAGGCTCAAAGTGCAACGCCCCTGCTGCCCGCACCCGCTTAGTCAGCACAACTGGGTAACCGAGCCACAACGAGCAACAAAACTCGCAGGACTCCAGGTCGAAGGTGTCACTGACCCCACAGGCAGCAGATGGAGGAAAAACAGAGTCACCCTGAGACAAGGGGTGAGAGCAACCCGCAAACTCGCTGGAAGTGAGGGGGGACCTCAGGGGTCACATCCATCGGACCCGCGCGCCCCCAGGGTCTCGAGCGTTTACTATAAGAGGACTCGAGCTCAGGTAATCCCAGGCAGGGTACTGCTAACCGGCGCTCAAAGCTACCAAACAACTTTCTAAGAGCTGAACCCTCGGGACGTGTACACTCACGGGGACCTAGCAGCGGGAACCACCAGAAAAATACTCAGAACACAAGGGACACAAGGGGCAAGAACGAAGGCAGACCCCCCCCCTACCAGGTAGATAAACAAAAAGAAAAAGAAAACCCCGCAAGAGGACAGCGTACCCAAGGGGAACAGAGCCGGCCGCCATGATTGGTGGAGACAAGCTGCACAGTACCCTGCGCCCCACCAGTGCAAAACTGCCCCTTACCCTAAGGCAAACAAGGGAGACAGAACACCCAAGCACACAAAGAGCGGGCGAAAACCAAGGAAGGTGGCCCCAAGCCCCAAGGGCAGTACTTACAGGGCACCTAGGGAAGGGAACCCTAGGCACATGCAGCTCGAATACTGGAGACTCACTCCCGGCTCACGCAGCACCTAGAAGACAGACACCACACTCTAGGTACAGTGCTGAAACAACTACTGGAGCCGAGCATATAACCGGTGCCTACAGCATCAGCCGAAGAACTGATGGGTGGATAGCCGGCGTGGGAGGTGTGGGGCTCCCCCTTCCCCCTCCCGGGGAGGGGGGGAGCTGCGCAGACAGCAGTGCGGTGACGTGTGACGTCATACTAGTTTGCTTGTTTTCTGTTGGGGAGTTCTATCCATTAGTTCAGCTTTTGGTAGCAATTTTCACCAGAATAGGGGTTTGTTTTGAAATGCTTACCTTTCTGGATGCTTGACCCGGTCGATGGCAGACAGAATGCTTCCAACCACACAGGGGTTTCTATAGGCCATTGCTCCCCTTGCCTCTCTGAGGGAGCCAGGTTCTGGCCGTGGAACCCGGTAGGCCCTAGAACTCCATACACATAACTGATGCCAAAGTCTGACATTAGCATATCAGCCTGGTAAAGCTCCGTGGAGCTGACAGGGCTCCCCCCAGAAAAACTGAGAATTTTTTCCAGAGAATTTATTTCCTGAGCACTGGGAGGGGGTGCCATATTTGGAAGCCGAGCAGTTGAGGGGTTAAGAAGCACATCAATAAACTTGAAAAGTCCAAAGACATGCAACTATATGGCTCCCAAAATTCAAAGGCAAGTGCAAGGAGAGTTTAGAGGCACTAAATATAGAACATATAAGAAAAAGAGGCGATATGATCAGTATCCACTTGATTTAACGACCTCAAGTTTACTATTACGCCTGTTCTGATGACCAATTTTTAGATCGTTTACTGGCGACGCCTTATTTACAAAGTCATTGGCCTTTAAATCGGAATATGGTACAGTATTGAGTTTACAGAGTCCATTATGTTAAACTGGAGGCCAGTATTGTGTTTGTTGTGACAACCTTGCCCTTGCTAGGCCAGTGGTAACATTTTACCTTCACAGATTTTACTTTTGTTATACAGCATGTAGTCAGAGCTAGTCACAGTTACAACCAGTCAGAAGTAGCCATGGTCAAGTCACCATCAGTCAGGCATTCACAGTCACAAGTCAGTCAGGCATTCACAGTCACACGTCAGTCAGACATTCTAAGTCAAAGGCAGTTAGGCATTCACAGTTGTGGTAGCAACCACTCAGTTTGTAAACAACATGAGTCTGATGTTGTTTACAGAACACCAACATTATGTACTCTCACAAACCCAATGTACCTTTTTGTATATAAGCCAGTCAGTCAGGGCTGTCATGTCAGTCAGTCAGGTCAGATCAGTCTGATCAGTCATTCAGGTCAGTTAGTCAAGTCAGTCAGTTCAGTCAGTCAATCAGTGCAGTCTACCTCCAAGGCCACAATATGGTAGGACAATAGCCGAGAATCTGAACCGTATTAATACCGTACGGACCATCTATATGCACCTGCAGGGGTGGGGGATATATCTGGGTGGGTCCGGCATGGGGATGGGGAGGGGGTTAGAATGTAGCTGGTTTAGGGGAGTTGAGGGGATGTGGCGTTATCTTGAGATGGTTTCGGGGCTTAGCGTCCCCGCGGCCCGGTCCTCGACCAGGCCTATTTTTTGTTACACCCCCCATCCAGGAAGCAGCCCCTAGCAGCTGTCTAACTCCCAGGTACCTATTTACTACTAGGTAACAAGGGCATCAGGGTGAAAAAAACATTTTTCCCATTTGTCTCCGCCTCCACCGGGGACCGAACCCGGAACCTCAGGACTATAAATCCAAAGCTCTGTCCACCCAGCTGTGGCATGACCACAGACAGTTTGTGATAGCAGCCAGTCTGTGATAGTCCGCCTGCCACCCAAGCCCGCCAAAGCCCGCCCACCCGCTTGAACCCACCTGCTTGAACCCCCCCAAGCCCGAAAACCTGCCCGAACCTATCCAAGAACGCCCACCCAAGACCACCCACCTGCCTGAACCCACCCAACACTGCCTGCCCATCCAAGAACACCCACCTGCCTGAACCCACCCAAACCTGCCTGAAACCACCCAAGCCCACCCACCCTAATAATGCCCAACTGCCTGAACTCACCCAAAAATTTCCCACCCACCCAGCCAAGACTGCCCACCTGCCTGAAACAACCCAAGCCTGCCAAAAAGAACACCCACCCTCCTGAAAACCTGCCCGATCCCACCGAAGACCGCTCAATCGTCTGAACCCACACAAGACAACCTAAAGTACACCCAAAAAAAAACAAACCTGCCCGAATCCACCGAAGTTCACCTACCAGCCAGCCCACCTACCAGCCAGTTAGCTAGCCAGCCCACCTACCAGCCAGTTAGCCAGCCAGCCCACCTACCAGCCAGTTAGCCAGCCAGCCCACCCCACCATCCATCCTGTTGCTCTCCCAAATACTATATGACTAAACAGTTACCGACATTTTAAAACCTCCAAATTTAGCAGACCTTTGGATTTAACGACCTGGGTACAGCCCCATATAGGTCATTAAATTGAGTGGATACTATGTACAAAATAGTAACGAGAATCGATAAAATTGATAGGGAAGAATTTCTGAGACCTGGAACTTCAAGAACAAGAAGTCATATATTTAAACTAACTAAAGAAAGCTGCCAAAGAAATATAAGACCATTCACTTTTGCAAACAGAGTGGTAGACAGTAGGAACAAGTTAAGTGAGAAAGTGGTGGAGGCCAAAACCGTCAGTAGTTTTAAAGCATTATATGACAAAAAGTATTGGGATGATGGGACACCACGAGCGTAGCTCTCATCTTGTAACTACACTTAAGAGGTAATTTCATACATATACTGTACAGTACCATACCGTTTTTTTCCGTTTCTTTTTAAATCTGTGAAATGCCAGCTTAGCTATTCTGTCCTGCACAGACTTTGGCTGTAAAATGGTAAGGGCATCAGCATCAATGTCTGATGTTGCTACCTCAGATGACTCCGTGCTGCTGTCTAGTGGAAAATTCTCAGCTGTTTCTGGTCTTATCTTGGAAAATAAAAAACAAAGTAAAATTATCAGCACATGCATGAACATAGTAGTAAATAAAATCATTATGCCATTCCTTCACAATTAAAATATACGTAGGAGTACTACAATATACATATGCTGTCACTTAAAATTATCAGAATTATAAACTAAGTATCCACTCAATTTAACGGCCTCTTTTATACCGATCTGCCGGTAATAACAACCGGTTTGGGAAACCGGTATCTGGAGCCTCATATACCGGTCTGGTGGTCGATATTACCGAAGGTCAGTATTGGGTTTGTTTTGGAATCGGCGGCCCCTCACATGGCAACAGGCCACTGACCTCGAAGGCACTGAGGGTGGGATGGGAGGCAGTGATTCATGGAGGGAGGCACTGAGGGAGAGAGGCAGGGAGAGTGTTGTTGTTGTTGTTGGTGGTGGTGGTGGTGTGGGAGAGAGAGTGTTGTTGGTGGTGGTGGTGTGGGAGGGAGAGTGTTGGTGGTGGTTGTGAGGGAGACAGTGATTGATGGAGGGAGGCATTGAGGGAGAGAGGCAGGGAGAGTGTTGTTGGTGGTGGTGGTGGTGTGGAAGGGAGAGTGTTGTTGGTGGTGGTGGTGTGGGAGGGAGAGTGTTGTTGTTGGTGGTGGTGGTAATTACCTAAGTGTAATTACCTAAGTGTAGTTACAGGATGAGAGCTACGCTCGTGGTGTCCCGTCTTCCCAGCACTCTTTGTCATATAACGCTTTGAAACTACTGACGGTCTTGGCCTCCACCACCTTCTCACTTAACTTGTTCCAACCGTCTACCACTCTATTTGCGAAGGTGAATTTTCTTATATTTCTTCGGCATCTGTGTTTAGCTAGTTTAAATCTATGACCTCTTGTTCTTGAAATTCCAGGTCTCGGGAAGTCTTCCCTGTCGATTTTATCAATTCCTGTTACTATTTTGTATGTAGTGATCATATCACCTCTTTTTCTTCTGTCTTCTAGTTTTGGCATATTTAATGCTTCTAACCTCTCCTCGTAGCTCTTGCCCTTCAGTTCTGGGAGCCATTTAGTAGCATGTCTTTGCACCTTTTCCAGTTTGTTGATGTGCTTCTTAAGATATGGGCACCACACAACAGCTGCATATTCTAGCTTTGGCCTAACAAAAGTCATGAACAATTTCTTTAGTATATCGCCATCCATGTATTTAAATGCAATTCTGAAGTTAGAAAGCATAGCATAGGCTCCTTGCACAATATTCTTTATGTGGTCCTCAGGTGATAGTTTTCTATCTAGAACCACTCCTAGATCTCTTTCTTTATCAGAATTCTTTAAAGATTTCTCACATAATATATAGGTTGTGTGGGGTCTATGTTCTCCTATTCCACATTCCATAACATGACATTTATTAACATTAAATTCCATTTGCCAAGTGGTGCTCCATATACTTATTTTGTCCAGGTCTTCTTGAAAGGCATGACAGTCATCTAAATTTCTTATCCTTCCTATTATCTTAGCATCATCAGCAAACATGTTCATATAATTCTGTATACCAACTGGTAGATCATTTATGTACACAATAAACATCACTGGTGCAAGAACTGAACCCTGTGGTACTCCACTTGTGACATTTCTCCATTCCGATACATTGCCTCTGATTACTGCCCTCATTTTTCTATCAGTCAGAAAATTTTTCATCCATGATAGAAGCTTACCTGTCACCCCTCCAATATTTTCCAGTTTCCAGAACAACCTCTTATGTGGAACTCTGTCAAAAGCCTTTTTTAGGTCCAGATAGATGCAGTCTACCCAACCATCTCTTTCCTGTAATATCTCTGTGGCTCGATCATAGAAACTGTGTGGGAGGGAGAGTGTTGGTGGTGGTTGTGAGGGAGACAGTGATTGATGGAGGGAGGCACTGAGGGAGAGAGGCAGGGAGAGTGTTGTTGTTGGTGGTGGTGGTGGTGGTGTGGGAGAGAGAGTGTTGTTGGTGGTGGTGGTGTGGGAGGGAGAGTGTTGGTGGTGGTTGTGAGGGAGACAGTGATTGATGGAGGGAGGCATTGAGGGAGAGAGGCAGGGAGAGTGTTGTTGGTGGTGGTGGAAGAGGGAGGCGGAGGGGGGAAGGCTTGCTGACCACGTGATGGTTGCCAAACCTCTCACCCATACTGTATTAAAATTTCAATCTTAGTTGTAAAATATTTATGCCAAAATATGTTAATTTTTGTATATTACTATACATAATTAATCATTAACATGTTTTATAGTTTCCTTCTTATTTATTAAACAAATATAGTTTTATTTATGAATTATACACAGTTGGCATCTGTGAGCAGGAGCTGACAGATGTCCGTATCTACCCCTAGCCCCGACCCCGTTAGTAGCTCCCTCCTCCATAGCCTGCTGTTCTCATGTTATGAGGGAGGAATGGAATGTTGTTATTGTTTTAGATTCAGCTACTCAGAACAAAAGTTCCAAGTAGCACGGGCTATGGTGAGCCCGTGGTGGACTTACCTGAAACAGGAGCGGGACAGTAACTGAAAAAAAATCCGAGGGCTGGAAGACATTGAGGGAGGGATGGGAGGCAGTGATGGAGGGAGGCATTGAGGGGGGAGAGGCAGTGATGGAGGGAGGCATTGAGGGGGAGAGGCAGTGATGGAGGGAGGCATTGAGGGGGGAGAGGCAGTGATGGAGGGAGGCATTGAGGGGGGAGAGGCAGTGATGGAGGGAGGCATTGAGGGAGGGAGAGGCAGTGATGGAGGGAGGCATTGAGGGGGGAGAGGCAGTGATGGAGGGAGGGAGAGGCAGTGATGGAGGGAGGCATTGAGGGAGGGAGAGGCAGTGATGGAGGGAGGCATTGAGGGAGGGAGAGGCAGTGATGGAGGGAGGCATTGAGGGAGGGAGAGGCAGTGATGGAGGGAGGCATTGAGGGGGAGAAGCAGGGAGGGATAGAAACAGTGAGGGAGGGAGAGTGGTGGTGGTGAGAGAAGAGTGGGGGTGAGGGAAGAGTGGGGGGTGAGGGGAGAGTGGGGGTGAGGGAAGAGTGGGGGGTGAGGGGAGAGTGGGGGTGAGGGAAGAGTCGGGGTGAGGGAAGAGTGGGGTGAGGGAAGAGTGGGGGTGAGGGAAGAGTGGGGGTGAGGGAAGAGTGGGGGGTGAGGGAAGAGTGGGGGGTGAGGGAAGAGTGGGGGTGAGGGAAGAGTGGGGGGTGAGGGAAGAGTGGGGGGTGAGGGAAGAGTGGGGGTGAGGGAAGAGTGGGGGGTGAGGGAAGAGTGGGGGGTGAGGGAAGAGTGGGGGGTGAGGGAAGAGTGGGGGTGAGGGAAGAGTGGGGGGTGAGGGAAGAGTGGGGGGTGAGGGAAGAGTGGGGGGTGAGGGAAGAGTGGGGGTGAGGGAAGAGTGGGGGGGTGAGGGAAGAGCGGGGGGTGAGGGAAGAGTGCGGGTGAGGGAAGAGTGGGGGGTGAGGGAAGAGTGGGGGGTGAGGGAAGAGTGGGGGGTGAGGGAAGAGTGGGGGTGAGGGAAGAGTGGGGGGTGAGGGAAGAGTGGGGGGTGAGGGAAGAGTGGGGGGTGAGGGAAGAGTGGGGGTGAGGGAAGAGTGGGGGGTGAGGGAAGAGTGGGGGGTGAGGGAAGAGTGGGGGGTGAGGGAAGAGTGGGGGGTGAGGGAAGAGTGGGGGGTGAGGGAAGAGTGGGGGGTGAGGGAAGAGTGGGGGTGAGGGAAGAGTGGGGGTGAGGGAAGAGTGGGGGGTGAGGGAAGAGTGGGGGTGAGGGAAGAGTGGGGGGTGAGGGAAGAGTGAGGGGTGAGGGAAGAGTGGGGATGAGGGAAGAGTGGGGGTGAGGGAAGAGTGGGGGTGAGGGAAGAGTGGGGGTGAGGGAGGGAGGTGTTTGGTTAATATGGTTCACTTGTTGTGTGATTCACTTATCCAATTGTGTGATCCAACTTGTCATATGAAGGAATTATTAATTGTAACCTGGAATTTACCAAGAATGGACACTAACACAGGAACTAACTTGGAACGCAATTACACAATGAACTTTATTTCATTTTAGTTATATTAAATATATCTTACCTGAATGTTATTCAAAATATTACTGATACTTCAACATCTTCGGAAATACCGGAGCCCCAGAAATAACGACCTGGGTACAGCCCCATATTGACCGTTAAATCGAGTGGATACTGTATTATTTATATAATTCCACAATAAATCGAAATTGAACATTCACTCTAATCTCCTAATCCTCCTCCTTATGAAACTTTTTGTTAAATATTCAGTAATTTTCAGATGGTTCCTTACATTTTCTACACTTATCATTATGCTGTAACTTTTGGCCTGTGCCTGTTTATACTAGACAATGCCTTGGTGCCTGGAAAAATCCAGTGTTGAATGTAATGAAGCACTTCTTTCTGGAGAAGCCCCAGTGGCTCCCTGAAGCTATCTTGCTGAGATTGCTACATACTAAGGATCTAGGGGGTTGATATCACACCTATCCTAACTTGTTATCTTAAGAGCTTGAGGTTATCTTGAGATGATTTCGGGGCTTTAGTGTCCCCGCGGTCCGGTCCTCGACCAGGCCTCCACCCCCAGGAAGCAGCCTGTGACAGCTGACTAACACCCAGGTACCTATTTTACTGCTAGGTAACAGGGGCATAGGGTGAAAGAAACTCTGCCCATTGTTTCTCACCGGCACCTGGGATCGAACCCGGGACCACAGGATTACAAGTCCAGTGTGCTGTCCGCTTGGCCGACCGGCTCCCCCTCCTATCCCCAGAAGCCCACATCAAAAGGATATTATCAGCAGCATATGCTAGATTGGTCAACATAAGAACTGCCTTTAGAAACTTGTGTAAGGAATAATTCAGAACCTTGTATACCACCTATGTAAGACCAATCCTGGAGTATGTAGCTTCAACCTGGAGTCCATACCTAGTTAAACACAAGGCCAAGTTAGAGAAAATTCAGAGGTATGCTACCACACTAGTCCCAGAACTAAGAGGTATGAGCAACGAGGAAAGGCTACAGGAGCTAAACCTCACGTCCCTGA